TGAAATTTATTAGGACGATTATTTTTACCCAAGAGGTTTTATTTTTCTTTTTTCGCTTCCCATCGTTACCGAAGTTAATGACGAGTTACATCCCTCAGGCGCGAACTTTCCATAACATTGGTGCACTAAACAACTCGAGTACTTCATCTCGTGCCAAAAGTACAAGACAAACAATAAACCCTCCCTCGAGTATCGTTATCGTTACGAGCCCCTTTGTAATAGGTACCTCGCTTGGAGTGCAATAAAGTCGGCTTATCGGAGCAGTGGTTTGCATGTGGCCAGCCGATGAACAAATAATCAGAGCCTCCAAACCTTTCGCATGCGATACGATTACGAGTAGGTATACACGAGTCTATGAACACGTAGGGCGAAACTAGTTGAAGCTTCTCGTGCTTCAGTTGCGCCAAAAGAGTTGCACATAGCCATCACGCCTTTCTCCGTACATCACTATAGACCATTACCCACGAAAGCCGCAAACTTCGTACCGATCACTATCCACCGATACGCTTGTACACTCGATACAAATAATGTTTCACTCGCGCATAATAAATTGTCTTCCATGTACATCGCAGTTGTTAGCATCGGGTTCGAAAAGGTACGAAAATCAAACTGTGCAACCCAGAGTGCTGGGCACGAGGGTGGAAAGTTATAACGCCGGTAATGCGAACCGAAAGGGATTTCCGGAGCAGATATCTCTCAGTTTTAATTTATGCCGGCATCGTAAATATATAATACACGTGCATATACACAGCAGGCAGGCGTGATTAGCACCGGGGGAACCCTTGAGTTGAAACAAAGGCCTGGGCCCAAAGGAGGGGGGGGGTCAGCCTTTCAACTCGACCGACCGAAGGAGGCGCGAGAGGGTATACACGCAGGGCCGATCTTCTTCTACCTCCCGTAATTCCACTCTCTCTCTCTGTTTCCAGCCACCCTCGGCAGCTCATCCCAAAGATTGTGGCTCCTTTTTGTGCTTTATTTACGAGAGAGGCAGGCAGGCGCCGCCACGATGATGATGTTCTCGCGGCCCTCGCTTGGACTCACTGCGTAAGCCCCCGTACATTCGACGATGTTGCTCTATTAATGAGGATCGACGATAAATGTACGAGCTCGCGTTCCGAGGGACGGCCTTTTGAGAAAAAAAAAAAAAAAAAAAAACTCGTGTCTTGGTGTATACGTTATTGTTGTACACGATGATTTTCGGCACCGGGGCTTTTACCCCTTTGCGCTCATCGGTCGAGCAACGTGAGCCAATTAATCTTGTACTTGGTTGGGAGAAGATTACCTCTCGGCTCTTTATTATGTGATGCCTTATTTTTATTGAGTGCAAATTTCGAGGGGAATCTCGACTTCATTACGGATACCCCGTAGCTGCTCCTTTCTCTTTTTCTTCCTCCATACGCTCTTCCAAATTGAGCCTTAAATTCGAAATTTGCGAAAGTAAAACATGCCTCATCGTCCCTGCTCGCATCGAATATTGATCGTTAAGTAGTTCTTGCGCTCGAAAGCTCAACCAACGCGTACCCGAGTTATCCTTAGTTTGCAACGTCGCATCGGGAAAGAACCATTATTCTCTCCCGTCCGCGATGCACGTGCCTCTAATAATACTCCGTACCGCCCCGGGTGAATTGAATTACCACGTTGGCCTGCATAATTCATTAGGAAATCACACGATCCAAAGACAATTGCATCGAAATGCGTCTCGGACCACATTTCTCCCGAGGCACGGTACGTGTGTAATTATGTGACTTCAAGTGGAGTACACCCGTAGCTGCACTGCGCCTTGACGCCGATTGCATTCTTCTTTCATCATATTGTGCGAACTGTAATCCAACTAGATAGTTTTTGTCACTGCCAAATGTTGAGGTTGTAAAAATAATGACGCAAACATCGAAAATAATTGATTGTCCAAGTGGAGTACAATGCACGGATGGCCGTACAAGGAGCAGGGAGTCGTCTCCTCTCCGAAAAAGGGTGGAGGAAGAGGTTGCATTGTTTCACTCGCTGGCGTTGTTGTCGTCGTAATGTATAGTCGTCGGATCAATACGGCCAACTCCATCCTCACCGAGTGTACACACACACACACACACACACAAGCGCACGCAACAGCAGAAAGAGAGAAAGATATGGGCGTGGCCGTCGCGTATACCCACAAGTCACCCTTGCGCGCGCGTGGTGGATTCGCGGAAACCCCACCTTTTCCCCCTCGATACCCACACATCCAAAGCGGTCGTACACGCGTATCTCATGGTACAACGCGCGGGTAGGTACCATCTTCTTCTTCTTCTTCATCTGGATTGTCTGGCGGTACGCATCATTTCTCGATAGCCTTGCACGATTGAATCTACAAGAATTCCACGTGACACAGAAAAAAAGGTCGATTAATAATGCTCGGAAGGGTGGTCTTTTATTTCCCACAATTGCAAAGCGACCACCGTCTCCCCTCGCGCGCGCGCTCCTTTCGCGAAGCTTATAGTTCTTGTCAATAATGTATCGCGGTTTATCGCTGCCGAGCTTGTGTGAAATGTCGAGTCGTTCACTGTGTCAACAGACGGGGATCGATTGTTTAAAGTTTTAAGTAGACCGCAGGTGACTTGGATTTTCTTGAATAATGCCCCGACGTGCGTGTCTTTTTTTTACAGTGATGCAACATATAATGTATTGTCGTGTAAAACCGAGGGGCAATAATTTATCAACGAATCGATCCCCATCAATTCAAGGAGGTTTCGTTGCAAAAACTACGAGCAACTAGACATCATTTGGACTGATAATTTTTTCAAGTGTAATTTCCTTGGTCGATAAAACAATTGAACCGCAGCTCGCTGCCAACAACCGGACATCAGAACGAGATTACTATCTATGTTCACATGCACGCCAGAGCACCGGCAGAATGGCATTTTTTTCGCAGCTCGGAAAACTGCTGCGGAGAAATGCATGAATCCCGGTAACGCATACCTGGTATTGGGGTAAATATTTAACAAGACTAACGCCGCTTTAAATAATATCTCATCGCGATCAAGGGATTATCTATGCATGGCAGTGGAGCGATTGTTTCTGCAAAAGCCACAACCCAGAGTTTGATATGTATAATTTACCGAGACATGTTACATGTACTCGCTATAAGTATCGACCGGCTTGCTCGAAGCCACACTCAACCCTTTCACCTTCGTACGTCAAAGACAATCAATTACGAGGCCACTAATGTGCATTATTTTCGCAAAAGATTATTCATACGTGTTGTCTTTGCCAGGGAATTGCGTAAGGGTATATATATATATATTGGCAGACGGGATAGCTGCTCTCGGCGAGCAGTGGAGGAGAAGCGGTTGTGCGGGGGCGTGTCGCCTCGATGGCGCCGGCTGCTAATGGCCAACGAGTCCGACAGACTTTAATTTCCTGCGTGCTGCTGTTTCCGCGCTCACGCGGACCCAAAGACCCCGCGCCCACTACGTATAGACCCCTTTCTTCCTTTTTTTCCTACCTTCTCGCCCAAAACGTGCTTCATCCCCCCCCCCTTTTTTTGCGCCTCTTCCACTCTGTCCTTCTGCCGTTTTGCTCTTCTTCTTCTTCTTTTCTTTTTTTTTCCCCTCATTTTCGACTGACCTCCGTCTTTTTCTTCCCTGCGTCCTCGTCTTCTTCTCGTGGGCATGTCTCTGCATGACTGACACGGCTAACTCATTCCCTTTGCGACGGTTTTCTTGCTTACTTTGATCCCCTTTGCCTCCCTTCCTTCCACTTCGTGCCGCATGTGTTCCTCTTTTGATTTTTATATACTTCTTTGTACCTTGGCCAATTCCATCCCAAATAAATTTTAAGTTATGAAAATGAACCCGATTGAATTTTTCGAAACCAGTTATCAACAGCAAAATCACAGGCTGTTGTTCTTTGGATTCTTTGATCAACCAGGAATTTCGTCAGCAGTCACCTAAACTGTATAAATTTCATACAAATTCCTTGCACGGATATGCGTGGGGACAATTTGCACGAGAGTGTTCCAAATGAGCTGCCTCGGGCCTCATTACCTCACAACCAATTTTTAATCTCTTTCTTCCTCTCGACCTCTGCACTCCATACCTTACACACGCTCACGCGCGTGTAACAGAGGGTATCGTCGCATCTCTTTCTCTTCCCTTTCTTCTTCTTCTCTCTCTCTCTCTCTTTCCCTCTTTTTTAAGGACTAGGAAGGCAGCACCAATTTTATGTCATTATGCACCCTCGAGCAGGGCTTTCGCCTTTTCGGAGACCTCGTGATATTATACATGTGTATACACCACCAAACCGTTGTAGCCCACTGATGTATACACGTGGACCATCCAAATAACTTTTTAAATACACATACATAGCTACGCGAGCCATTTTCAGACATTATTACGGCAAACGTTTACCTGCCGGCTCATATGTAGCTGGGTCATGGGCCTCGAAATATTATTAGCTCGCTCGGTAGCTCGCTTGTTCCTAAAACTTGATGAAACTGCGATGAGCCTCACAGTTTAGGTATTTTTTTTTTTTTTTTTTTTTTGTACTTCTCAGAAAATATGAATCGTTACGCTGAAGCTTACTTGGAAATTTATACAATCAGTCCGAGATTCCACCAGTTTGACTATTGTAAGAAGGTAGATGGCGGTCAGCTGCATCACCAATTATTAAATTTTATATGGTTGAAGGGATGGGTACGGAAATAAAAAAAAAAAAACAGTAAGATGTATCGTAAAATAATCCACCTTGAAACGTCCAGTGCGATGTCTTTAACTAAAATCCAACCGATGTGTGCGATATCTGGTCCACCGTTTCTACAATCACAGTTGCGATGTCCTTATAGACAAGATACGAGTTCCTTATGGATCATCTCTTGTTTAATATGTTTTTGTGAGCATACCTTCATCATGAAAAAAAAAAAAAAAAAAAAGTTTCCTTCTACATACAACTTTAATAATACAACATCAGCGTATGAAGTTTTCAAGTTGGCGCAACTAAACGTAGCCTGTCTCGTCTTTGTGTTTCAGGATCACCCAGGATTGCGAGGCACACCGTTGGCAATGCTTGCGGCTCAGTGCAACAAACTTAGCAGTAAAAGCCCACCACCGTTGGCGGACGCAGCGGTGGGAAAAGGTTTTCACCCCTGGAAAAAGAGTCCACAGAGTAGCGGCAGCTCGCCCCAGCATACGAGTAACGCTGGCACGGGTGGTTGCACAACGACCGGAGTGACGCAACGGCCGACCGCGACCAGCAGTGCCGGTAGTACCGGAGGCGGTTACGCCCGTGCGCCAGTAACCTCGTGCGCCTCGACGGCACCCCAGTACGCCAGTGACCTGTATTTCCCGGGCACTGCCAGCGCCCAGCCGGCAACCGACCACCACCACCAGACGAGCATACTCGGGAAAGTAGAGGGAGCCACCCTCGGCTCGTGTTCGGTCTACGGCAGACACCCGTACGAATCTTGGCCGTTCAACACGATGCCCGGAGCCAGCCACGGTAGCATAAAAGCCACCGACGGCTGGTGGGACATGCACGGGGCCGCGACCGGTGGTTGGCTCGACGTCAGTGGCACAGTGGGCGTTGGCGTTCACGCCGCCCAAATGGCCAACTACTCGGCCGACTACTCGACCAGTCTGGCCCTCGCTGGCAACCACTTGCTCAGTCAAACGAGCGCCGGCCACAATCTCTTGCAAGACACGTACAAGTCGATGCTGCCCGGAGGACCCCCTGGATTTGGATTGCACCATCACGCGAGCGGCGGAACAGGAGGCTCGAGCCCCCAGAACAGCAGCAGCGCCACTAGCGGCGGCGGCACGACGCAAGCCCCCTCGCCGCGATCGCAGCGCCGGTACACGGGTCGCGCCACGTGCGACTGCCCGAACTGCCAGGAGGCGGAGCGGCTCGGGCCGGCCGGCGTCCACCTGAGGAAGAAGAACATCCACAGCTGCCACATACCCGGTTGCGGCAAGGTCTACGGGAAGACGTCCCACCTGAAGGCCCACCTGCGCTGGCACACGGGTGAGCGACCGTTTGTTTGCAACTGGCTTTTCTGTGGCAAGCGGTTCACACGTTCGGATGAATTGCAGCGGCACCTTCGAACCCACACCGGCGAAAAGAGATTCGCCTGCCCGGTCTGCAACAAGCGGTTCATGCGCAGCGATCATCTCGCGAAGCACGTCAAGACGCACAGCAGCAGCGGCAGCAGCAAGGGCAAGGGGGGAGCGGGGAGCTCGTCGGCCGAGTCCTGCTCCGACAGCGAGGACAACGGGAGTCAGCAGAGTCCCACTTCCAGCTCGGGGGCGGCGCTCCCGGTTCAGGTGTCTCAGGTGGGGGGCCCGGGGCTTCCTCAGCCGGCGCTCCAGGGTCCTCAGTCGCAAACAATGCAACTGGGGCCCCAGGGGGGCCAGCCGGGGGCCCACCAGCAGCAGCAGCAGCAGGGTCCCACCACCCAAGACACCAGCACCAGCTCGCACCCGAGCAGCGCCAGCAACACCTTGTCGCATCAGTCGACGGCGCCCATGACCCCCATGCAGATGACGCATCCCTCGTCTCTGAGCCAACACCATCCCCACCACCCGCATCTCCCGCCACTAATGCACCATCCGCATCATCACGTGGCGGCGGCGGCGGCCTCCGTCTCGGCTCATCACCATCATCATCCGCATCATCATCCGCATCCGCACGCCGGGATGAGCATGCACTGAGCCCGGTGGGGCCCGGAGCAGCCTCACATGCGGCCCTGGGCTCCCCCCTATCCTACCCCCTGAACCTCAACCTGCTCCATCATCAGAACCACGTCAACTCCCAGCTCCACCAGCATTATCAACAGACCCAACAACAGCAGCAGCAACTCCACCACCACCACCACCACCATCATCACCAACAGCAGGCTGCCAACTCCTATCAGGTCCAAAATCCGGCTACTCCCGGCCAAGCTCAGACCCCCTCGCCATCCTCACCGCCACCTGTACATAGTCTCTAGGCCGACACTCCTACGCGCTACCCCCTTCTCCCTCGCACGCCACAAGTTTTTTAATTATTCTTATTATTATTCTTATTCGTATTCTTATTATTATTATTATTATTACTGATATATAATTATTACGATTATGATTATTGATATTTTACCATCTCTCAAAAAAATTCATCATATGATTATCATATACATACGTATGAGTCAAATTTCGTACGAGTTAGATGGACTCTATTAGTGCTGCTTCACCAAATTGTACGATGCTTTTTTTATTATTCGAAGAGAAACAAAAAAAAAAAAAAAAACAAAAAAAAGATTCATACGAGAGAGAAAAAATGCAAAGAGTAGTGGAAAAAAAAAATGGAGAATAAAATAAAGATGAAAGAAAAGGATGAGTTATTGATATTGAAAATACGTGTAAATAGCTATACATAATGCGCGCGACTGCTTTGAGTGCGAGATATAATAACGTGAGGCTGGATGTTTGATGGATACATTGTTGTTGTTTCTTATTTGCGTTAGGTTTTATTATATATACGCTGCGACGTTGTGACACACGCGGACACATTGTACATAGTTATATAAAATTAGAGAAAGAAGAAGAAGAAAGAAAAAAAAAAAAAAAAAAAAAAAAAAAAAAAAAAAAAAAAAAAACAATTCTAGCTGTGAGTGAACGAATGTGAGTGAGAAATGAGAATTTGCACGTTGGAAAAAAACAAAAAACAAAACAAAAGTATAACTAACTCAAGAATTAGGTGAAAACGACACGATACATGGTACGGAGGAAAGTAACATTACATTCACATACACCGCAACCACACATCGTTCACACGAATTACACGTTAATTATACATAGGTGATGTTGTATAGCATATCTATTAAAGAGAACAAAAAAAAAAAAAAATAATGA